AGCTGCTAAGCTTCGTAGTAATTGTTTCAATGTTTGTTTTTTTTGTTCAATACTTATATTTGTATGAAATAAAAATTCTTAATTTACATACCACCCGAAGTTTTGCTTCTTCAAGAACTGAATAAGATCCTGATAGAGGTATAAAACTCATACATGATCCTTCTCGTACAATTGTATATCCAATATCACCGAGTACATATACACAAGCAAAAAACTGAAGAATAATATTTCGTAATTGTAAAGATGCAAGTACCGGATCATATCGAAGTCTAGACAAATAAACAAATCAAAATAAGAAAAAGACACTATACCCAACAATAATACTAGTTGCTATTCTTATAATTAACTTAATCAAAACACCACGATTTAATAGTTCATATGAACCAAAAAATAATTCTTCAAAAATTTTTACTATTGCATAAAAAATAATTCCAAAAACAGTTGCTGTTATAAAACGATTTTCTATATAAAATGGTTTAATTGGTGATAATAAACCTAAATAGAAAATTTCATTAATAGAAAAAATTTACGTCTATAATTTTTACCAGGTCTACCATAAAATATATTTGAACCTTGTTTATCTCGTTTAATTGACCAAGAAAATTTTCGTTTCGATAGTCGAAAGCTCTTTCACATTTTTTTAGTACATCAATAATATCAATAATTAAAGTTCCTACATTTTCATCATTAATTTTATCAATTTTAAATAAATTATAATATCTTAATGTTATTATATTAAATAAAGTTAATAAGAATAATAAACTTAGAAGAGCAATCCATATATTACGAACAAGATTATGCTTAACTGAACATGTTAATAGACGTGGAACATTTAAAAAAAAAGAATACAGTTTATCAATTTAATTAAAACATAAATGTATAAAAAAAAATATCAAAACTTTTTCAAAATGAATTACTTGATTTTCTTTGAAATAGACATATGACGTTTTTATTGTGTACTCAAAAAGTGAGTACACTCTAGAATCGGTCAGTGTGTCCGGCTAGCCGTCCGTTTACACGATAAATTTTGAAAGAAGAGTCCAATCGCGATGAAATTTACCACATAGTTCAGTCTTAACAATGTCTCGATTGAGTTCGAAAATGAGAAGGATCCGTCAAGAAATGGCTGAGTTATCGAAAAAATAGTCATTATTGACCAGACCACCCCTGAGGGTGGGATACAGAGATCTTTTCAAAAAAAAAATTTTTTTCTCAAAATTCTTCGCAACATATATAAATCAACT